CTCTCTCTCTCTCTCTCTTTTCTTCCTCTCCTGAGCTTACGGCGGTCACCAAAACCTGTCCGACACTCCGAGTGACTTTGACATTTTTCACGGATCGTCCTCGATAGCGACCCACGCGCCCGAGCTACGTCCAGTTCTCGAAGTGGACCTTTTCCAAGGTCAGTGACGTGTGGGCCGCTAGAGAGAGCACTGACGAAGTGCACTTTGTTGCGAAAGCACTTACGAACGTCGCGCATGTCGCGTGACGTTTTGACATCGCGGCGCGAATGCAATCTCCGGCTTGCGACGGGATTTTTCGCGTTAAACGACCATTTCGTAAAAATTGCGTCATTTCATACAGTCGGCTTAACGGTCAATGAATTCTATGCGGTGACATGGTGACATATCCTCTTGAGGATATGCATGAGGATAACTTTGAAAAATTGTAATATTATATACTGTATATAATAATTCAAACATTCAACTATTTAATATATTGGTAATTAAAGGATATGAATGAGATTTCTCTATTTAAATTGAATTAAAGTTAGTTTTAACAAATGTTGAAAAAGATTTAAAAAAACATAATTTTTAATATGTTTTGTATGTGTGTTTGGTTCTAATTAAATTATGAATTTAAATTTTTTTAAATTATGCTCCACATTTAACACAAGAAATAAAAATTATAAGTTTTTTTACTAAATAACTCAATTTTTTAATTAATTCATTATATTATCATAAATATAATTATCTGTGCATTTTTAGTCTTCAATTATTTACCTATGTAGATAAAATTATTCTTTAGGCAATGGAGAGAGAAAGACAGAGAAAAAGAGAGAACTCTCGTTGGAAAAACTCAATTTTCTTTAAATATTCAGAGATAAACAACTGTTACAAATGATGAGTGCTACGAGGAATGAAGAGAGAAATCCTCATACATTTATAATGAGAAACTTGGAAGGGAGAGGATTGTAAAGGCGATTGGAATCAACGCTCTCCGACACGTTGGCTAAACCAACTGTTACTCTAACGTGGTTCCGAGTGTGTTCATGCGATTATGCAAATCCGCGACACGCGCGGCGAGGTCGGTCTGTGCTGATGCGCGTGTTCTCGGTCATTGATTAAATTATGATCTGGATCGTACGCACGTCCAGCGTGCGTGGACGGCTATGAGCCGGATCGTTCGAAGGGCTCGCAACTGGGACTAGGAGGCGTTAATTAAATCCAACGCGCGGCTCAGATTCGCACGGACGCGCGCGTCCGGCCTGCACGGCGCGCGGCGCGGCGGTGTATACGACGGCGTCTGTCAGGCGCGATGCGCGATGCGCTCTGTATAAGGCGTCGTTCTCGATATTAATGATGGCAACGCATCGCTGGTAATGAACACATGCGCGACCTGTCCCGCCCACGTGCGAGAGTGGCAACGGATTATCCGGACGGCTCCGCGCCGTAATGCGCGGACGACCGCTCTCGCGCGGATTTGCATGGCGCAGCCGACCGTCTGCCCGGATGAAGATTCATTAGCCCGTGCCGAGAGGGAATCTGAACCCGTTTCCAGTTTATAGTTATCGATGAGTCGCTTAAGCGGCGCCAATCGATAATATAATAAGAAGAAACATATATATAATATTAAGTTTTTTGTTTTATCATTAGGCAGCGTCGACTGAGAAAATATGTAACTTCATATACTTGATAGATGATGGTGTCGTAGAAATGCAGAAAAGCAAAATAAAGATTTTTAGAAAAAAAAATAGATAATATCACGATTAGGTATTCGAAGAAGGATAATTTTTTATTTATCCACTTACACTAATATCTGTAATTAAGAAAAGAGAATATAATGAGGTTAATGATTCTTCTATATATTGTTTCAATTTTTTAATTTTCAGATGAGGCTGATAAAGCTGACTAATTTCTATTGTTTAAAATTATATGTAAGAGAGATTCAGACTATAAAATTTTAAACTTATATTGTAAAATTAACGATTAATGCTGGTCTTTTTAAACATATAATTAAGTGATAATTAAAAATGATACTATTGAGATTAAACATGTTTAACATTTTTTTCTATTTTTTTATTTCTCATAGTTACTATAAAATAATTTAAATTATTTAATTTTTATTTGTTGTTATATCATTTACATTAGTACATAAAGCTCAAACTAAACTAATATAATGTAATATAAATTGTTTACTTGTAGAATATATAGAATTTAATTTCAAAATAATTTTTTACAAAATAATTAAAAGAAACTTGTTTTAAATCTTTACTTAAAAATTAAAAATTAATCATCTAAAAATGTAAATAATTTATTTTTCAAAGAACTAGTTAAATTATCACATGTATATCGATATGACTCGAGTCACATTTGCGAATTATCTTATTTTATTAAATATTTAAAATACTTCTATCTCAAAGAAATTATTACATTATTACATTACAAGAAACTGGTATTTTTACAAAAGGCTAATATTTCAGAAAAATCTGTTTCGTGAAATGTCATAAAAAAAAATGATAATGGAATATCAACCGAACAAAACTATCTACTCATCTGCGATTAGTCTATGAACTATGCGTGAAGCTATACGTTTCTCCTTAGCGTCTGCCGATCCGCGGTGTAAGATGAGTCGATCATTGCGGGTGATATCGCTTGCCATAAGGCATTCAAGTTCATTAAGTATCATTCAAGAACGGCCCTATTATGCGTGTGCGCTCGGTAGGTGCGCGCAATTTCTTCACGGCATGCAATCCGACTGATTCATGCGCTGTGTCGGGATTACATTCGCAACATTTCGTTATTTACGAACTTTGATTCGTGAAATAAAGCGCGGTCGAGAAATTCGACGTTAAATAGGTGCATATCACCATAATGAGAACATATGGCACTCTTAAAAAAAGAATAAAAAAAATTTCAGACAAATAGTTCAAATGTCGTTGTCTGTATTTAATTCAATTAATTTAATTAAGGGATTCTTAATTATTATACAAATAATTTTAAGGCAGCACAATTCGTCGATTCAATGTTGCCCAATTGTTTTCAGAAGAGATAAAAATAAAACTTTTAATTTAAAAACGTTCAAAAATTTTTTGATAATTTTAAAATCTTTAATTTTTGTCTAAATATATTAATAAAAAGAAACGGTTATTTTTTTCACCAAATTAGTTTTTATACATACTCTAAAAATTTACTCAATTAAAAATGAATTATGTTAAACTCAATACGATTATCCTCAGTTAGTAATTCTGTGTTACTTGCTGTAGGAATATATGTATATGCTATATAGGAATACATTCATCTGTGTTTCTGTTTTATAGTATATCGATAAATTTAATAGATTTTGTACAAACATATAATGATATTATTAATTATAGATTTGTAAGAAACAAGTTTTAAGCAAAATCTTATACATTTTTTAATAAATATCTTTGTCAAATCAAAGTAAGATTCGTAACTCTTGTTAGAAAGAAGTCTAACTAAGAGTGGCCACCGTTGCGATTTTGGTGGGATCGTCAGAACTCTCGTACATCACTGCCAATACATCCATTTCTGAAATAAGAACTATGTAGTTACATATATTTTATGACATTGTCGATAAAATCACAACAGAAATAGAGCGTCAAAAGTAGATTCATTTTTAAGAAACAAATCAAAGCCTTACTTCTTTTTAAGAAATTCATCGAAGTCTGATTTCTTTTTAAGAAACAAATCAAAGTATTATTTCTTTAAAAAATTTTTTTGCTACAGTCGATTTGTAAAAAACAATGGCTAAACATTTAATTAACTTACCTTAATAACAATCAACATAGTTATTAAAGTTATAATGTACCGAATCAGTCATTATTCTTTCAATGTTCGATTAAACATACACATTTGCGCAATGTACAAAGGCGCTTAATTATTTCGTTAATACCTTTAGACTGTTTATAATTCGAGAAAGATGGAGAGAGATCTTTAATTAAAATTAATATACATTTACGTGCAGATAATGACGAAGCTCCTCTTAACTATAAATCATACTCCCTTCTACGGCGGAGAGATCATTGATCCCATGATACGTCATATTTTGAAAAGAAAATTAACTTACATTATTACTCGATTTTGAATTTATTTCTCTAGATAAGTTTGATATATTAATATATTTAATATATTAGTTTAAAAATCTTGGTATTATTATACAAAAACGTTTAATAAAATAAATAAATAAAAAATATATAATTTCTGATCAAAATGACAGAAATTACTAATTTTAACTTTGTTACTTGCTACGTTGCAGCTTGTTCGCTTACTAAACTTCACAGACGCGCGTTTCATGTGCATCGTTTACCTTTTTTTTACTTTTTATTATAACAATGTTTGCAATGTACACATTTACATTATATTACACTATTAATTCTTCGATATACACAATTGTTAAAATATACCTTATTATATATACGATGACAGTCGTTCACGAAGTAAGCGCAGTGCAATAAGGGAATCAGTTAGTGTCACGGAAAAGAGTCAACAATAAACTTTTTATAATCCAAGTATCGATTTAACATATCTTTTTTTAAAATAATAATTAATCACTAAAAAATAAGTTAAACATATAAGCTGCTTTTCGTTACTCACTGCAAATACAGAAAATATAGTATACGTAACGTGAATTACAAGATTTTCAGTATTCGTAGAGAATAATGAAAGCAGTCATAATATATATAAAAAAAAGCATAAAAAAACAAAAAAACGCAAATTGTGTTTTTATCAGTTATATACCTAATTGAATAAAGATAATCAATCAAGATTATGAACGTTTAGAAGAAGATATTGTATCTATCCTCTTATTAAAAAATGTTGGACAATATTACTAAAATAAAACACCAATTGGCCTTTAACTCGATTCAATAAAGAAAATGATACTACTGCAATTACTGTATATCGATAAGATTACAAGGAATGAAGTGCGTTGTGACCTCAAGGAGATAATGACGTCAATATCTGCGCAACATCCATGTTATATATTTCACCATGGCGTACGTGAAGCAGTTAGTCATAAAATCTCGCGCATAGTGCGTGCGTCTCATTGCCAGACAATTCACTGAATAAAAGTTTTCTTTAATTAAAGAAACTTTAACAACGGTTGACAAAATTGGTATTATAATAATGTAATTAACAATATTACGCTACTTCTATCTCGCGTCACAATTTTATAACAATCAAGTGTAGAAAAAATATATTATTAATTTAGAACGAAAAACTGCTAATAACACTCTCTAACCAGAAAACGTTGTCTTCTTGAATAACTAATCCGAAGATTTCTGTCACGATGGAGCCATCTACTTTGTTCCTGGCTATTCTGACAGCGAGTGTTTGCTTATATTATTTTATTCTAAGCAAGTTATCTTACTTCGAGCGATTGAAGATCCCCCATGTGCGACCAATTCCATTGCTCGGTAACATGGCACCTTTTATTTTTCGACGCGTATGCTTTACGGAACTCTTACAAAGAACTTACAACCTCTTCCCGGACGCAAAATACTTCGGCTTCTACGAATTTACGACGCCGACCTACGTTATCCGTGATCCAGACTTGATTTCCACAATTGCCATCAAACATTTCGACAACTTCTGTGATCACCGTGGCTTCATCAACCAAGTTCTCGATCCGATAACCAGTCAAAATCTGTTTGAAATGAAAGGAGATCACTGGCGCGAAATGCGAAAGCTTCTTACCCCCAGTTTCACATCCAGCAAGATGAAGATGATGTTTGAACTCGTGTGTCATTGCGCCGAGAACTTTGCCAATTTTGTAGCAACGCAATCCGGAGAAATCGGCAAGACATATGATGTAAAAGATCTACTTTGCAGATTCGCCAACGACACGGTGGCCACATGCGCCTTCGGTATCGATGTGGATTCTTTTAAAAATCCGAAGAATGAATTTTTCGTGCTTGCCAGAAAGACAGTGAATTTTGATAGCATTCTGTCCCTCAAGTTCCTAATGCACAGAAATTTTCCACTATTTTGTAAACTAATCAAACTGAGATTGTTTGGTCCAAAAGTAGAAAATTTTTTCAAAGACGTCGTTTCTGGCACGGTAAAAGCCAGGGATGAACAGGGAATTGTTCGCCCGGACATGATTCAATTGATGATGGAAACCAGGAACAAAGATAGTGGACCTGAGTTCAACATTGACTACATGACCGCCCAGGCGTTCCTTTTCTTTCTCGCTGGATTCGATACTGGTTCGACAGGCATGTGTTATATGATGTACCACGTCGGTGTCGATTCCGAAATTCAGAGCAAATTGAGAGAAGAAATCGACGATGTTCTCAGACAGACTAACGGCAAACCTACTTACGAGGCCATCAATCGCATGAAATATTTGGACGCTGTGATAAATGAGTCTCTCAGACTGTATCCAATAGTATCTTTTTTGGAGAGAATGTGCGTCAAAGAAACCAAATTACCACCAGCAACTCCGGATGGCGAACCGATCACGATAAAGCCTGGGGATAGCATATGGTTCCCGCATTTTCCTCTGCACCGTGATCCAAAGTACTTTCCACATCCAGAGAAGTTCGATCCAGACAGATTTCTTAACGGCAATGTAGACAACTCGGTCTATATGCCATTTGGTATCGGACCCAGAATGTGCATAGGTAATAGATTCGCCCTAATGGAATCGAAAATCATGCTGTTTTATTTGCTTTGGCGTTGCGATCTCGAACCCGACGTTAAAACTACAATTCCTATGGTGTTTACCAAGAAAACATTTTCCATGACGCCAGAAGAAGGTTTCTGGTTGAAGTTTCGAGCGAGGAAATCGAAGGCTCCTGTTACACAATGCTAATTAAACGGACAGATTTGAAGGATAGTGATGAAGCATATTTAAAATTTAGTTTAAGCATGAAATTATATATGTACTGTATTTAAATTCGATCTTTTAAATTATAGTGAGAATCCAATCATTTTCTCAATTAAACATGTAAGAAATAAAAATTTTAAAAAAGTTTTTTTAATACAAAACGGTACTTTTTTTAAATAAAAAGCAAAATAAAATTTAAAACGTTCTGATAAAATATAGTAATTGTAGTACTACTAATATAAATTTCGTTTTTGTTATCTTTATTTACACATTAATCAGATGAGTTTTATTGATAGTAATAGATATTGATTTTTACTTTATTTTTGCATTCCATATTTTAAAAAACATAAATTGATATTGAATGTTTTAACCTGATTAAATTTTTAAACTACATGAATAAAAAAATATTATGAACAGCGTATTAAATTATTTAATATATTACTTTACAAATGTATATATAAGTATATTTGTTAAGATGAGTGCAATCTTTTTCAGTTAAATGTAATTGTACGATAAATATAAAAATAATAAGCTCTATAAAAAACCTGGGTAAAATATTTCAAAGTAATATTATAATTTTCAAATATAATTATAAAATATCATGATTTCCAATTATAATCTACTAACATAATATTTTAAATTGTTATATCAAAATAATTATATAATATTACTTAGACAATCTATGAAAGATATAAGCAAACCAAGAAATATAAATTTTATACGTAAAAAAAATTACTTTTTTTTAATAGGTATTTCTAAATATTTTATCATATATGTTTCAAATTATTAATTTAATAAAATAATAAATTCAATGTCTTCTTTGAATATAACACGTATCTTATACAATTGTGTAGTACTACTTGGATTAAAAGATTGCATATCTAAAAATTAAATGGTATATTTTAATAGTATACAGACATGAGCATTATTCTTTAATAGCATAATTACAAGAAGTATCAGAAATTGAATAACATACACAATTTTCTAAATATATAATAAATAATACTTTTATTAATCTTTTTTATAGTACGTATATACTTCATAATAATATGTATGTGTTAAGATAATGTATAATTAAATATCTCAAATATATTTTATGTCTTTAAATATAATAAACAATAATAAAAAATATATCAATACTTGAAACAGAGAGAAAGAAAGAGGGAAAAAGTATTAAGACAAAAGTTATATAATATATATGTATAGTAGTGTAATTAAGATATGTGTGCTGTTAATCTATTCATATGTTCTATAGACTAATAAAATATTGGATTGAAAGTTCCATTCTTTTTTTTGCTTTATATTAATGACATTTTGTAGTAAAAAAACAAAACAAACTTTCCATTCATGCAACAATTAACTTGTCTTAATAGCAATCAGTATATAATAAAGTCATCAAAGCTATGTATCGAATCAGTCATTTTTTTAATGTTCGATTAAACATACACATTTGCGCAATGTACAAAGTCGCTTCTTTCGGAATTAAAACTTTTAGATTGTCTATTAATTAGAGAAAGATGGAGAGAGATCACTATCAATTAAAATTAATATACATTTACTAGAGGTGTGCGAATCAAGCCTTTGCATGGTCGAATCGAATCGAATCGAATTTTTATAACATGTTCGAAATCGAATCGAATCGAATCTGAAATTTTCACTTCGCATCGAATCGAAACGAAACTCTTTATTTCGAATACGAATCGAATCCGAATCAATTTTTCCCAGATTAACATTACATTTAGTGATTGATTCGAAATCGAACCATTGTTGATT